AGTAGAAAGGATCGTCGCAGCGTCCAATGTACCTGTCCCGGAAGGTCATTCTCAAAAAAGCAACCCGACAAGCAACCGAACCGATAAGAACTTCGAAATGGCTGGTCAGCCTGAGCTTGCAGACGCCTACGTCCTGAAGGCCGCCGACGGCATGACGACTCCGCCGAGGAAGCTACGGTAAGGACTGCTGCGCTTTCACCTTTTGTCCAGGCAGCCACTGAAAGGTAGTGACTCATTATGTCCGCTGTTACAGGCAATTGATGTCGCCTCCGACGATCAGCCAATCGCGCCCCGTATACTCGGTGCGCGTCGCCCCACTACTTCCATCTCTCGATGACTGGAGCGATGAAGAGCCCGAAGACGCTGAGCCTGTGAAGCCCTGGTCGCAATCCGCATAAAGTGACGAAGGCGGCTGAAGCGAGAAAAACACTGGACTGGACAGGAAAAGATGCAATATTTTTTATGAGCGAACGAGCAGTCGGTTTACGGCTGAAGCCTTCGATTCGCGGCAACGCCAACGTATACTAAAGAAACCACATGAACACTATGATGCTTGATGCCCACGCGTGTACATGTATGGTTTTACAGCGGCGGTACTTAACTCTTGGTATCATCAAACGTCGTTTTCAGCACTGATAATTGGTTAAAATCAGTGAAAGTGCTGACCAATGAGAGCCGGCGCCGTGTTTACGACGTTGTAATTGTTGTCACTCATCTCAACCAAAAGTTGAGAGCCGAATCGCCGTTTACGACTAACTCGGCTGATGGTAATGAATTCAGACTGTACACAACGATGGCATTTTCAAATTTGCTTTGAACTGCTACAATTCCAAGATATTTCAGCCAAGTTAGCATGACGATCATTTCCAAGCCTGGCATCTACATCCGTCAGTTCCGTGACGAGGACCTACTTGAAGTCGCCGACATTTTCGAGTATGGTATGATGCTGTACTCCAAAAACGACCCGGTCTCCAATTCTCGCTGGGCGGACTACGTGCATAAGAGCCTCAAGACCGACCTCGCCGATATCGAAGGCACGTACATGAAGCCTGGCGGCAACTTTTGGGTCGCGACGGTGGAAGACAACAACGGAGAAAGAAAGGTCGCCGGTATGATCGCTTTGGAGCCCAAAGGCAATGGACATGGCGAAGTTCGACGTGTTTCGGTGCATCCTGGCTACCAACGCATGGGTATTGGCCGCAAGTTGATGACACATTTACTGCAGTGGGCAATGACACACCACTTCAAGACTCTGACACTCATGGCATCGTACACGGAGAAGACGTCTGCCGTGAAGTTTTACACTTCGTTTGGCTTCGAATTCGGTGAAACCTTTATGCTTTGGGAGAACCCTTCTCACGAGGCTTTCTGGATGACGAAGGTCCTGCCGTAGTATACACCTCAGTCTACGCACCCACCACCACAGCACGAATGCCTTGAGTTCTTTAAGCGCGAAAAAAAACGCGTTCGAAAACCGCAAACTTTACATAATATACCAAGATGGTGTCATGTATCGCTTTAATTACGAAGTAGCTTAGACGAGTTTTCTTTTGCTACGTTCTCTAAAATCGGTGAGGGAAGCTATAGATAGGCTAGTTTTCGCTTTCGTGACGGTCTGTCCTGACACTCTTTGGGCCAATAATGCCAATGAAAAAGATGCTACTGAAGTTCTAGTTGCTGAGCGTATACCCTGGATATGTAGAATTGATTCAGCAGCTGAACGTTTTCTTCTGCTTCGACAGTTGATGTGGGACGACGGAAGTGTCTGGATTGTGGGGTATCCCATTTCCCCTGCTAAATGAAGGCGTACTTGGCTACGTTCAAAATCGGATTCATAGTGCGTTTGCTGGCCATGGACTCTACGTTGGACGCGCATGTTTAACGGGGCCCGGTGTTAATGGCCATCAAGTGACGCATTCGCCAGATTTCTCGTATCGCCCGTTTTCCGAACTTCCTGGACTTAAAGTGCCGCAAGGTGTTGACTACATCGCATGGGCTACGGTGGCTTTCGAACTTATGCGTTATCAACAGTGGTGATCCATGTGCGAAAAAGCTGGTCATGTACCGCCAGCCCCCTAGCATTTAGTATATCTTCTTACTGAAAATGTCAACCCACTTGAATTGCTGGTCGTACGAATTATGACGTGGCCACAATGATCCCGTTTTCTCTGTCGCTGCCGTTTACCATTCATTTGACATTGATACTGTTTAAGCTCCACGAGTTGTTTAGTTTTTTTGGCGCCAGCGGTGTTCTCGGACTGCCCAGCAATGCAAGATTGCAAAGAACGGTTCGTTGTTGACATCGTCGCTTTGGCGCGACGTGTGCGTCCACTATGGGGTCGTAAGAAGTGCTTCGAACATGCCTATTTTCGCTGATAGGCTACCAGTGGTAGCCAGCAACAGTAGCGCATAGTAGCGAGATTACGAAATCTCCACAGTAGCAAAACTGCATCTAACGAATACTTTGGTTGAAAGAGATTATATAGTGCTGCATACAATTACCAATTACTCCTCCACGTCCATGGCGGTGTCTGCCTCGTCGTCGCCCTTCTCAGCCTCCATGTTCTCAATGTCCTCCTTGGTAATCAGCCCACTCTTAAGTAGCTTAGCCTTCTCGGCCTCCACGTAAATGCGATGGCGCTTGGCGTCCTTCTGCTGCTTCTTCTTGGATGGCCGGTGTTTGCGCAGCACTGTGCGCT